CCCCAAGCGCTGGGGAGCAGCCGAGGAGATGGGGAGGAGCCGGCTGTGGAAGGGATTCTGCTTGTTGTACGCCTCTGCTGTTGCTGTATTCTGGGGGGCACCCACTACTACCTATGTTTCTCTGTCAGGACCAAGAAAACTTTAGGGAAAAGACCCAAAGCTGTTTTCAGTGTCACCAATTCTCGCTCATTGTGATGAAGACTTTATTCATGATGAGAAAAGTGTTTGGCATCAGATCGCAGCCTCAAACTGCTGCGAAGATAGATGCTTCTGACAGATGGCTACGTTAATTGGGTTTACATCCTGTGTGTGGCTCTAGCTTCACGTATGTATGCAATACAGGACTGTTGCTTTTTCAGTGGTCTTTCCTATAGTGTTTTCAGGAATTGTTCCAATGCTTCTATGAGATGATGGGTCTATTATTATTGCCCTTTTACAGAAAAAGAAGGGAGGCAACTCGCTGAGCTGGTGCAAATGCACTCTCCTCCCGCTAGGAAGACAGAAAACTGGGAAAAAAATGTGTAGCTGTCTGTGAAAAGTTTGTATGGGACATGCCCAGTGTAAGAGACAGGGACAGAATTTATTTTTTATGGTGCCACTTAACCACAGTAACTATGAGACCAGGTTCTATCTTCCTGCACTCTGCTTGTATCGTTTGTGCACGCCTTTGGTAATCAATAGTGCAGCTGTCTGATAGGTGCGATCTCCTTCGCTGCCCAGCCTCAGCGTATGCCCTCAGCTGGCCTCTCCCAGGCACTAACTGAAGGTGACCCTCAATGGAAAATACCATAAGAGCTTTGAAAACTGCAGTAGAGCATGTATGTGTAAGGTGTGGGTTGCAGCTGAATTCAGCAGTCCCACTCGGTGGCAGGGTTTTCAGGCATAAAATGGTGTATTGGCCATGGCTGGTTTAACAGGCTGACTGCTAATGCTGATGTAGTCTTTGAGAGTGGCTTTTGGCTGATCCTTTCCACCTCTCTGGGCTAGCATGTGCCCAAAAACCTGTCCTGTTTCCTCTTCCCTCCCCACAGCTGCATGGTTGTAAAGCAGCAGGAGCCTACTGTAAGTCTGTCCTTGCATTTCCACTGTGCGGTGGGGAGAAAGAGCAACGCTGCTGCCAGGAGAAGGGGTGAGATGAGGCTGCTGAGCTGGGGCCTGCTGCGGGCGCTGGGGCGAGAGTGGCTGGAGGAGCCGACCTCTGCCAGGGCTGCTCAGCAAGTGGGAACTGAAAAGTAGGTAGGGGAGCAAAATTAGCCAGCCTGTTCATTAGTCACCTCTGCTGTGACCTGACTTCGGCACCCTCGTCAGGCTTTGCATCTGGTCCCTTAGCAGGTAACTCTACCTCTCAAATCCAGCAGGCTGCCTTTAATACGCTTTCAGAAGTAGATTCAAGGAACGAATTGAAGAAATTCAAGGAATTAATTGAAACACAAAAGTGAATGATGCCTGTTCCAGATAGAGATATGTTAGGAATGATCAGCTCCTTTTTTTCCCTGTATCTTTCTGAAATAGAGAACAAAAGATAAATAGAAAACCAAAAGATCACTGCAGTAGAACAGAAATGACTGAGTTGCTCTTGGAGAGAGAGGCTAGTGTGATTTTGGTTGCTATAGAAATAGAAACGGAGAGCTCTAAAATATGCATCTGAAGTAAACAGAATTTCAAGAAGGCAAACAATTAATTATGTATATATTTAAACATATTAAATGGACTAATAGAAGATAGACATTCCAAGCTCCAGACTTTTTTCTTCATTCTGCCTTATATTAAACGCTACACTTCTGCTTCTATCAATGCAAAAAAGAATAAATGCATATTCCTGGCGTACCCTGTTAGACCTATGGTTAGAGAAAACTATGAAAACACAGTACTGCTCATGAATTACTCCATAAACAACTTTTCCATTGTTCCATGTAGGACGCTGTTTAAGCCATTACATTCCATAAATTTCAGGGTATAAACTGAAAAAAGAAATCTCTATGAGAAATCTAGCTTTATGAATAATATTTAAAAAGAATTATTAAGTTGGTTGGCAGTTGAATTTTGAAATCTAAAAATGAATAAATAAGCTTTTAATTAATAAAAATATTCTAGTGCTGAGTGTTGTAATTCTTTGTGTATTCTAACCTATAATATGAAATTCATACCATAGTTAGTAGAGTAAGGCTTATTGTAAATGAGAATTAGTTTGGTAACTGTTACTTGGAACAAAATGTGTTCCTATGGATAAATGAAATCTGGATTATTATTCTACCTGGCAAAACACTAGAAAAAATATTTCAGCATCCATCTTTTTGATAAAGAATTTGAAATGTTCTGTTTCAGTAGGGTCAGTCGTATTCCATCAAAATGAGAAGGTCACTGTTTTCTTTGACTTGTCTAATTGTTTTAATTTCTCAAATGTAATTTAATGTGAAAAAAGAGGTAAAGAAAGCTGGTTTAAAATAGTTAGCTAATGTTAAAATTTAGTGAAATATTTAAAATATTTAATTTCAACTTCAGTGAAAATGTTCTTAAATTAGTACTTGTATATTAAGATTTTCAAGTTCTGTTCAATCCCAAATAGATTAATTTGTTTTCCCTTTTCAGATTCTGAACCAAAGAATTGTATATATTTTACCCACGTGGTGGAATAAGCTTATGTTTTCATCAGTCTTTTCAAGAAAGACCTAAAGCAAATTGAATCTAGTCCGTGTTCTTGAAACTCATCAAACACAAAATTTAAAAAGCATTTTTCTTTAATCTCTTTTAGATGACACAACCTATAGCTTAATGTGATCTGATTTGGAAAAAGAAAAAACGTGCAACTGTTGCTACATTTGTACATTTGCCCTTGTATTTCTGCCTGGTTGTTTAAGCTTCTCGTTTTGCCACTGTGGCTTAGTTTATGTAACGGCTGACGTGCCAGCTGTGATTTGCATTTCACGCTTTTTATTGGTTCAGTAGATGTTTCTGACAGTGAGAGCAGCTTGATGTATTGTTAAGGTCTGGGGGTTGTGTAATGGACGATAAAAACGTATTAGTAAGCAGTCTGTTCAACTGCGCTATAAGGCATAGAAATACCAAGCGTTCTCGCGGAGAAGCAGTTTTCAGCATCGTGACAAGCATGTGTTGTACCAGTCGCTTTTCTTTTGAGCTGTTTATTGTATATGTGGCAACTGTATTCAGGGGTCACTTCAACTGGCTCACAGCAGGAGTAGCTATCCTAAGCTAGAAGTGCCTGTTAGGGCACCGCACCGCGTTTGGTGTAGTGGAGGTCACTGTGAGCTGGAAAATGTTTGATGGAATATGGTGCATGACACAGACTGTGCTTATAGGGAGTGATGCCGTAGGAAGCTGGACACGGCTTTGGACATGATTTTCAGAACTGGCACAAAATATGTATTAGCGATTTCCTTTTTCCTTTGAACTCAGCTGGTGGACATGTAGTACATAGCGTATGTGAGATGGTAAAGCGTACTTTGTCATTTGTTAATGGTTTGTAAATCATTGTACACGCATGAGGCAATAATTTCTCTTCGATGGCTTTTCACGAAGACAGCGCTTTCCAAATGCTTATCAAAAAGAGAAAAGCTGTCTGTTCCTGTAAAATTAGTTTTTTGTAAGCACAAAAGAGGAGACTGTGAGCCGGTAAGAGTATACGGCATGGACCATCGCACTCGAATCAGCTGAGCAAAGACGGGGAGTGCTTTGCTGTACACATAAGTAAAAGCCACTGAGATTTCTTAACAATTCTAAACCTTTTTCACACAAGAAATGCTTAGGATTACAGAATATGAATAAAATAATGCCACCACAACTGTTATAGGTACCTTACTGTCTTGCAAACAGGAAAACTTAAGCAAGAAGAAACTTGGCTCCTGTAATGGGCTGGATGCAAAAGAACAAGATTTTCAAAGGTAGTTAAATAGAAATGTAAGCATATTTAAGTATAATACATTTTGAGGCGTTATTAGGATTTTCAGAAGCAGCCAGGGGCTTACCCACCACCAGTTTAAGTGAGCGTTGGGCAGGTTGGCCTAGGTCCTTATAGGTAAATGCACTGGGGTATAAAAACTCAAAAGATGCCTAGCTTGAGGACTTAGGCACCAAAATGACCTTTAAGCCCCATCAGCCTCAAAAGAATACGCTTAGGGACTATCTAACTTCAGTTAAGTGCCTTTTCCTTTGTGCTGGCTGTGTGGGTGGCTTGGGCCGCCCTGCGACAGCCCGAGGGCTGAGCCCCGAAGCCCTGACAGGAAAGCCAGCACGGGGCCTGCCCTGCCGGCAGCCTCCGTCCAGGCCCAAGGGCGCTGCCAGAGGGCTCCTGCCTCCTCGTGTGCAAACACATCAAACCTCGTCTCTTTATCCTCTTCTGAATGAGTGTTTGCCCCCCTGGGCCACCGGCCTCCCTAATGAGTGCTTCATTACTGGCCTGTAGAAATTCTCACAGGGGCGTACGTCGCTGCTTTTAGAGCTTAATATCAACGCTTTTTCTGTAGGGGAAGGCATGAATGCCTAGTGGGAAGAATCATGTACGTGGGCCTGTTGCTTAATGGGCACGCAAGAGATTCCTATCACGTTTCAGGTCCTCCCCCCACACGCCCCTTTCCCGTCCAATTTTTGTCCAGTAGCATTTCCACAACTAGTTAAACAAGACTGGGACAAGATTCATCATGCCTGTACGCTAACCGCCTGGCATGCAAGCAGGCAGCTTACCTGTGATAAGGTTCTCAATTTCAGTGGTCATGAACTGGCAGATACAGAGTGAAAAACGCTGACTTACGCTCTGTGGAGGTTGTTGCAATCAACAATATTGTGCATATAGTCTGTACTACATGATTACTATTTTTGTAAACACACAACTGTCGACATTTGCTTCGAGTGCCATCTAGTGGGCTGTAGTTTTATTTTTGGGGTAGATAATGTTCTTGTTCCAATAAGGAAATTTTAAGCCTGTATATTTATATGCATAGATTTCAATATTGCTTTCTGTGCACTGCTCTGTATTTCAGGAATAATTCATTGGCAGATATTTTATGCTCATTTCTGAGGTGCAATGCGGAGATAAATTAGAAGTTGAAACACATCATAGAAGAATAAGCAGAGCTATACACATACAAGAAGACCGTGTGGTGAGTGTTTGTCTTTTCCTTTAATGGAGTATTCTGGGATAGAGTATACATTTTCTAACCTTTATAAATTGTACAGTTGCTTGTTTGAACTTGGAAGTACTGCCAAGTGCTGTATCTTGTTCTAACTGTATCTTTCTGGGTAAATGGTGGAAAAACTGTATTCTCCCATTCAGAGAATTTTGTGCATTTTGAACTCAAGATAAAACCTCTGTTTCACATTTTAAAATGCTAATCTAGACCCCTTCTTTTTGTTTTTCCAGACCACTGGTGTTTGTTGTTTCCTCATTGGTCAAGCTGGCTCAAGGGTCTGTAAGTAAAAAACCTTCTTTTTTGTCGTCGTTTTTAACTCCTGACTTATGTTGATAAAGTACTGTGGGCAAATACCATGAAGCAAAAACCTCAATGTTTGTGGGTAAAGTATGGGATCTGTTATATAAATACAGCTGATTTTTTTTCAGCTGTTGGCCCGGCTTGCTTGTCTCAGTACTTGTACTGATATAACAAAAGGTATAAATCTTTACTCTAACCCTAACCTCATTAGTGGTGCCTGGGGAGGGGGGGGTTACCTAAGGAGGCTCTGTGGATGAGCCACTGGCTATTCCTGTATGTTGTCCTTGCTCAAGGCCAGATGCTCCTGCTGGGACCCGTCGTTCGGCTGAACCTAACTCTGACCCTAACCAGTTCAGAGGCAGGGACGTTACTTGCAGAGAAACTGGATGAGCCGCTGGCTGTTCCCCAGTGCTGCCCTCCACCTCCCAAAAATTGGATGGTGTGAGAAGAAAGTCAACTCTGGGACTTTTTATTTTTCTAACCCCAGTCCTATCCGATCTCGTTTCTCAAATGCATGTTGCATTCTCTTTTTTCGGATAGAAGGCAGCTTGTTAGTTTGGTGCACATATAAGCCTTCACCATGCTCCTTTGGAGTCCATTCTGCATTTGGGCCTTGGCTGCTGAGTGTTTAAGGCTCATGGTTATTTTCACTGTGGATGGACAAACACTGAGAATGCGATTGCTGACCTTACTGAGGATTCACTGACCAGTCTTTTGTGCTTAAAAATGACTTCCAATATGCTTTAAAAGGCCATCCTTCCTGCAACTGTTGTATTGCACCCTGTGGCCATTCCCTGTACAATACCATCTCTTGCCATTTTTGAGCTTTATGCAGAGGTTGTTGAGCTTGAGCTGTAGTGACTCTGTGGTGACTTGGATGGCCTTGAGACTGAGCCCACAAAGTGCACTAAACCAACAGCTAGCACAGCGGAAGCGCTATGCAGTTGGTTTTGGCCTTTCAAAGAAGTGGGCCGTTTTCCAGATGTCCACATGCACTCGTGATCGGCTCCATGAGAGACGTGGGCCTGCGCTGAAAGTCTGCGCTGGTTCAAAGGGTGCAGAGAAGGAGTAGTGATGAATGTTTATTGTGCTCGGAAATGGCAATCTTTGTTTCAGACTTGTCAAATAAATATTTTAAAAGACCCGTTTGAAAATACCCTGGCATTTGTTAATGGAACTGAAGCAAATTGGAAGCCATGAGAGTTTGCATTTTCTCCATTTGTGCAAATGTAATAAGTAAGCAGAAGGGAAGGTCTTTCCTGTCTCAATGTTTGTCAGTTTATTCCTGATGGTGTAATAAACAATGTTCCCTAGGATTTTTAAGAGAGAGACTGCGGAGCTCTGAGCATTAACATTTTAGATGTATTGAATTATCTAGACTGAATGTGAAAAATGTCATTGCCTACTGAGCAGTTAATGCACCCATCAGTTAGGGCACAAACTGTTGTCTTTTGGAAACCAGAGGAGACAGAACTCAATATCGTTCAGGTGGCCTGTAATTGCTTTGTTTTGCACAACACTGCATGAAGTGACTGAGTCCCAAAGCTGAAAGTGTAGTAATAAAGATCTTAAATGGGTTTGCATGTGGAGCAAAGAACGCTAAGCATCTGAAATTTGGTAACAGAAGCTGCTTAAGCACACTCCATTTTAGTGGTAAAGTTTTTTTTTTTCCCAGTAGTTAAGATGTGGTTTCCTAAATGGGGAAAAAAAAATTAGAAACAAAAAATATTGTTGCTTTGCTTTGTAGGTAGGCGCATCGCCATGTAGCAGTATTCTAGTATTTTGGGCCATTATATGAGTCTTGAGCTGGCCACTCCTTAGCGTCAGTATGTTGCGACATTAGTAACTACATCAGATAGAGAAATGAGAGGTATCAAATAAGCGGCAATGATAGGGTTCAGAATTTAGCTAAGAGCAGTGCAAAATTTCAGGATCTTTTCTTTACTCACAGAAATTCAGTTTCTGTGGCACTGGGAATGGCTGACACCTAGGGAAAGCATAATTAGGTAACAAATCATGGTTGAGAACCTGCTCTGCCATCTCTTCCTGCCGTGCTGGTTATGTTTGAGAGGTGTTGGCCACACAAAGCATCCTCACTCAGGGCAAGCATGCTGCCAAGTAAGGGCCCAAGCAGTCACTTGGATAGCTAGCATTTAAGGCTGCTGTATGTTCGCTGTCCTAATGTATGAGCTCGCTACAGCTTTCTGAGGAAAAGAAGTTCTTCTAATATAGCTTTATGGACCGTAAGATAATGATTGCTGTTCTGGATGTCTCCCCATTCAGTATGCCAAAGCAGTGAATTGCTCCATAAAGTCACTTACCTGCATAGTGTCAGTGAAGAAAGAGGAAGTCGGTTTACTTGGCTTACTATTATAAATTGTCCTTCAGAAAAGTGTGTCTCTGTCCGTTGATTATGCATGAAGCAAAGGTGCTGAGCTGAATTGCCCTGCTAAGCCAGACGGCTACTGTGCTGGCACTGTGATGGCTAATCTGCTTAAACTAGGCGGTGTCAATGCTGTTGCTGCCTTATTTGAAGTCAAAATTAGCACTATTTTTGCTGAATTGCCACTATTTGCCAACAAGCTGAAGCAGGAAAAACAGAAAGGTAAGTTAATCTGTCTGTGCTTGTAATAGTGGCTACAAACTTGAATAATGCTATGTTAGCATATCTAAAAGGTGGTTCTTGCTTGTAGGCACTATCACAGAGTAGCAGAGGTGTTCAAGAGCGCAGGGGGCTCTTTGCAGGTGAGCATACTGTTAAGGACACCCCATGCTGCTACTGCACCCTCTGGCAAACCTGTCACAGAACAGCTGCTTGGAAATACCGCGTGCTTCCCAGTGAGAGCAAACAGCCAAACTCCAGCTGGACCACACTCTGCCTTCAGTTATCAGTAAGCAACTCTTAGCTCGTCTGCTTCTATATTATGTCCTATATTAAGTACTATTATTATGTCCAATATTAAACACTATTATTATGTCCATCCCAACCTTGTTACACTTTAGTTTTAAAATATGTTTTTTTCATTAACATAGTGGTCTCGCTCTCTAGGCTGGCTACAAGATTTTACTTTTAGTCACTTTTCTACAGCATTAGCTGCTGCAATGGGTCCCCCTAACTGCTGTACTTTCCTGTGTGATTACTAATGAAGTACTGCTCATCCCTGCAGCATACCTAAACAGTCTTCTGGTATCAAAAAATACTAGTTCAAAGTTTCACAGACTGTGAAAACTGATTTTTAAGAATTTTGTATTCATGTATCACCAGGCTTTAAAAATGTGCTATTTTAAATAGTTTGTCTTTTATTTAAAAAAAAAAAAAAACAAACAGAATGAGAGTAATACAGCGTAAGTTGAATAACAATGCTAAGTTATCTAAACAGCAACAGACTCTAACTCGGTTCAACAAAAACCTTAATGCAAGTAATTTCCAAGTGGAAATAACGACTGGCTTTAGTAAAATTCAGCTCATTCCAGAAATCCCATTAGCTTGAACAGGACTAAAATATGAATAAGAGAATGACATGACTCCTTATATTGTTTAGTGCATGGTTTTGGGTCTGTATAATCATACTAGTTGAACAGAATCTCATGCAACAAGTATAAATTTCATAGTAAAGATGTCTTTATTCCAAAATAATAATGTGTTAGCCAGACAGCTACAAAACATCTACACAAGACTTTGGTAAGAAGTATTCATGGTAGCTTTTTCATAATTCCACAGCAAACAAAAACAACAAAGGAAATCTAAAAATGGAATCGAAGAAAATTTTGTTGTAACTTGTATGCTGCACATACAGAATCCTACTGTACATTTATTAAGCCCCTAACTTTTCTTTTTTTTTATTATGTGTAAAGTTTCTACAGTTCATATGTTAAAAAAAAACATACACACAATGCTAAAATCTGATATTTGAGGTCTACAAAACTGGAGTGATATCTGTGCTTTCAGTTCAGCAGTATTATTTATGAGATATTATTTAGAGATAACAGTTCGCATTTTTATTGATTGATAATCAGTGGCTATTACACTACTAGAAAATTTAAAGCAACAATGCAACCTACATGTTGTATATCAGAGCTTTTTTTTCTGAATAGAAAATGAATCTCTTTTTTTCTTCATTTGTTTTTGTTTGGTTTTTTTTTACAAAATGTAACAAGCTTAAATTTTTTTTTGTGTCAAGTTGGAAGAAAGACAAGTGACTTGTAAAATGTTTCAACAGAAAAACTGTAAAAAGCTGAACTTAGGCAGGAATGATCACACATTTCTGAACAAGTGCAATCTACTTTGTCATTGCATGTATTAATTAATTAACAAAGAGGAAAAAAAAACCCCAACAACATTCATAACTTTAATGAGCCTAAGAGAAATGACTGGAAATCACACTGAGCAGCCTCCTAACTAAGAGAAAATAAAGTATATGGAGAGTCAATTGGGTAAGAACCACAGTGAAAGGAATACCAGATTTTTAATGGACATTTTTGTGGGCACGTTCAAAAAAAAAAAATGTTACATATTTCATACCATACCTAAAGTACTTATTTAAATTATGTAGACTTTGGCAAAGGGAGTAATTAAAAAGACAAAAGAACTCGATGAACTGGAACACACATGAAAACTGAAGCTAACTTAGTACTGTAATTGGTTATTTAAAGAAGCGGGCATGGTCTTGCAGGATCAACATGAACAGTGCGGTAAGGGTTGAGGCAATGATAAAATACAGTTCCTAAAGTCACAGCGTTTTTTTTTTTTTTTCTCCATTCAAGAGATACTTGCTTCTTCCACTTCCTTCCCCACCCAAGCTCTTATAGTCTGTCACAGATTCATAGCCTAAGCTTTTTTTTTTTTTTTAAATGACTACCCTCAGCTGGTATACCTCTGTCAGACTGGACAAGAGAGGCGCCACAGAGACCGTTGGTGGATTTTGTTTTGCATGTGGAGCACTGCCCTAGCTGTGTGCCTGGCATTAATCTCTGTAGACACTTTCTCTGCAACCGTTTCTTCACCTGATGTGCTTGGCTGGTCATTGTGCCAGTATCTGTATCGTCGTCTCATTCCACTTAACTTTTTTTTTTTTTTGGTCAAAAAAAATGGTGATGTGCAAGGTAAGATCATAAATATATTAATTAGGGACAGCAGTCTAGTTGGTGCACTGTAATGACAGTGCTACAGAGACACACTGCAGAATTTATTTTCAACAAGCACAAAGAGGTAAGCTATCTGAAATATTACTATTATTACAAGAACCAAGCTGTGCAAAATGTAAAGAAGTGTTTGGTTTTAGCATTAAACCTTCCCCCGCCCCCCCACCCCGCCCCCCAGTTTGGTTCACTATGGGCTTGCACCCATTTCACTTAGCAGCAGTGGGCAAGGCTAAGCACTGCAGTTGGTTCCATCATTTCACTGGCCTACCCTCACTCCAGGTCTTTAAAAAAAAAAACAAAAAAAACAAAAAAAAAGCTGTTAAAAACCTGTGAGGGGGTGGGATGCGACAGCTGTGGAATTCCTGAGCAGCTCTTGCAGTGTTCGGTGGAAAAATGATGATGAAGAGCCCTACAGTGTATTGCAACCAGCCAGTGACTCTGTACCAGCTAGATACGGGGAAGTAATGAGAGGATTCCCAGAGTAGTGATAATAAAAGTTGAATAGCCTCACTAACTGGCTTGTGGTTCAAATGCAATGCGGACACTTAAAACCTGGGTGTCAGGTTATGAGGACTGTGAACAAGTGTTACAGATGTGAATAAATTATTTAAGGCTGGTTTAAAGAGACTATAATTTTTTCCATTCATTTCTCTCAAACTTTTTTTAAGTGTTTTCATCAACAGTCTTTATTTTCAGTGCACTGTTATTATTTACGTAGCAATAATAGTGTGTATGCTGTCTTTACTGGACAAAAAAAAAAAAAAAGAAAGATAATTCATCTCCTTTATCTCTCATCTCAAATGTTAAATTTTTAAACTTACAAGGCATCTTTATATTTCAATACCATGTGAGGCCCAAGGTCTCTCTAGTCCTATACCTGAACACCAGTAGGGATGAGAGCTAAATTCTGCAGAACAGGTATAAAATAGCAAAAGCAGTTAGAACTGATAAGGTGCTATTTTCTAATCTCAGGCAGTTTGTTAATAGCCAAGGTGATCAGGGAAGAAAGACATTTATCCTGGCTACTCTATCTATAGACTACAGTCCTGCATTCTCACAAATTTAGTAATTTTTAGATCTTCCTAAACTCCAATATAAAAAAAACATAAATGACACTTAACTTACTGCCATAAATATATTCTTGTGACAATCTGTAATTACTATTTTAAGAGTCTGTCCTTGTTTCATTTCAGAGACTCCCTTCCCTTTGATAGAAGGGCTGCATGAGACCTTGGCTCACCTTCTCTCTACTATTTTTTATTATTATTTTATAAACCTCGACTCTCTTTACCTGTGATTAAACGAAACCTAATTTTTACTCTCTCCCATGGGGAAGTCTTTCCATGACACAACTATTGCAGCTGACTGTGTTTGGACTAATTTTATTAGTTCTGTATCCATTTTGAGAGGGAGTGGATGGACTAAATATAAGAATATGGCATCTAAATATCTAAAGAAAGACATTCACATGTTTTCTTTGTGTGCTGTTTTGACTATGACTATACAGTGGGCAGACATCATTACTAAGCTGCACGAATTATTTCCTTTTTAAATCTTAAAGAAACAAGATCATTTTTGCATGGACAATAACATCCATGTGAAGAAAAGTATATAGGATAATTATTATAACTATCAGTAGTGTGAAAAGATAAATATGCACCTTTAAAATTATTGAACCAGCATTACTGAAATTATTCCTTGGCATAGTTATGTAATCACATAGGCACTGCTTTGGATTTTTGAAATCAAATCAAGAGAGCAACCCTTCCACATATGAAACATGTCACTTTAACTTAGTTGTGTTAATATGCATGCGTCCCGTGTCTTTACAAGTAGTATTTCTATATGGCTATTCCATGTCCACAGGTATATCTGTATTTCAGTTAAATGATTCACAATGACTTACTATTTTTATGCATTAAGGGCTAGCTGGAGTATCAAAGATTTACTCTCAGCATAAATCTGTGAGGAAATATTTATAAAATACATTTCTTGCACCAGCAAGACTAAAAAGCAAACCACACTGCAAAAATGAAATCTAATATACACTTTATATAATTTTTTTGTTTTAAAAACCAGACCAAGGTTGACTTTCCATTTAGCTCAGAGTGCATCACTTGGAAGCCTCCTCTTTTGCTAACAAGGATGAACATTACATGCCCTTAGCTCCTTTTTGTCTCTGCAGCTAGTAAACTGAGTGGTTTTGGACCTCTTCTTTACTATCATGTAACGTTCTTGAATTCCACCTCCACACAGTGTAGAACATTCTGTCCAAGCAGTCCATGGTTTCAGTCTACAAACTGAAAAAAAAAGTTACTTGATTCAGTTTCCAGTATTTCAGTCTACCCTGCATATCTCAATACATTATACCATTTATGCATGTATACACACTTACATTTTTTTTTGCATATAAGATATCACCTTGGCTAGTTTATTACAGTAGCAGTTAAGGACCCCTAATAAAGTATAATCAAGGTGCATTTGACAAACACTGAAAAAATATATTGAAAAAGAAATTTACTTACCTACATTACAAAGCAGATAAAATTAATGCACTATTAAATTAACAGTAATTCATATCTTGATAATGTAAGCTATATCACAAATTATGTTTTTTTTTATTTGAGGCATCAGTTTTTGATATTACTGTCCCTTGTTGAAAAAAGAGCCTGAGCTGATCTGAATCAAATTATTGCGATGGGAATTTTTTCAGTTTTGAGGATCACCATTGGATCTAGACGCAAATACTTTAAAAATTCAACAGGATCCAAATATTATCATTCAGTTCCATGTATTTATTGTTTGCTTGGTAGAAATCCTTTGCCTGATCTAATTTCTGGATGTTTGATATTCCACTGTTTGTGGCAAAGGACCTAGTAAGCATCATAAAATATTCTCAGTGATGATAAAAGCCTTTCTCCATTGTGCCCTAAGCTTATGTATCACACTTTTTTGATGACAGTCCAACACTGAAAGCAGCTGTACTTTATTGCTAAAACTTTCCCTCAACTGTAAAATACTGCAAAACATTACTACAGCATGAACTGGAGTTGTTCACAAACTCCTTCCTGTTATACAGAAAAGCCAGACAGACATGAGCGTTCTAAAAGATGGTTTCACACTCACCTGGGTATTGCTCACTATCTATATTTTTTTTTGCTTGTTCACTTCTCCTTTTCTCCCGGGCCTCTTTCCAGCGCCTTTTTTCCATACCTGGGCCTCTCAGGCATTTCCTTACTCGACACTTTGTACGTTGGACAGTTTCTGGGCATGCTGTTCCTCCAAACTGTGGCTCCATTTTAATCATTCTTGTCCTGATCATATGGCCCTTTCCACATGACGTATTGCATTCTGACCACTGGGACCACTCTGTTAGTTCACAGTCAATGGCTGCAAAGAATGAGAAACATGAGCAAATACAGGAAATCTGCAATATCTGCCAACCTAACCATAAGTCAGGAAGAAACACACAAATGTGGCGAATGATTTTTTTTTTTTCATCTTACATACAGGAATGTTGCTTAAGCCTTCAGTCTTTTCAGCAAATTTTGTGAAACTCCACATCAAAATTTTCTATTGAGTGAGTTAATTGCTAGCAGAAATATTATTTGCCACTCTCACAGTCCTTTCCAAGAGTGGTGCTGGCAGGTCACTAAACTTAGAACAAACATGACTAATTCTCCTGTGCCTTCTTCAGTGTTCCACTCTGTAAGTCCACATGTCTATTTTGTAATGGAAAGCTGTAAAAACTTGAGCTATATATACAAAGAAAGAAGCTGATACCTGAAATCTAAGCCTTGCTTTATTCGTAAGACGTAGAGCTTTAAACTGATATACTTTGAGATCCTGAGTAAATCAGAGAAGAAAAACAATGACCAAACTCTAAAAGGAACCTTTTACAGCAACCTAGAAGGAACAGAGCCTGTATCTTTTTTTTTTTCAGTTTTATGCTGTAAAGAGAAGTCACTAATAGCATTATGACTGAAAGGTTTGCATCTTTTCAGCATTGTTTAAAACTCACAGCTCCACTGAACACTAATCAAAAACAGTAATTTCAAATTATTTAAGAAAATCTGAAATGTAAAACTGCAGTGTAAAACCTTTCTCTAGTCAATATTTTCTTTGAAAATTTAATGATGTAGTTAGTTATAAAAAAAATCTCTTCAAATTTCTGACAACTGTACACCAAAAGTATAATCACGTCGTATTCATTCAGCAGCGCTTCAGGCTATTGCTCTTCACAAAGAGTGTAAAGCAACTGGAAAATTGTACCACCCAAGAAGTGGGGGATTTTAGTAGAGTAGGGAATAAAATCAATGCAGTTGTCTCCACACTATCTACTAGTGCATATGATATTCCAGGGTGCGAAGGGAAGTAGGTCGCTAAAAAGGCTATGGTGCAATTCAGAGATGTATCAAAGATGTAGCCTCTTTTCTGCTCTAGCTCTGAGCTAAAAGAATCACACAGGTAATCTTAAGCCTTTCTTTCCTTCCTTCCTCTCAAGGGCACATTCTGCATTTGAGTTAAAAAAAATTTTTTATATATATGTATATTTATATCTATCTCTCTCTCTCTCTCTGTATATACAATTCTGACTTTTTATATTATTGGGAAGTGCATGAATTGTTGCATAAAGTTGTGTTAAACAGTGTAACCACATACCCATAGCAGTGATGGTCACCAGCGTAAGTTTGAGTAAGGCAAAATTAAATTAAGTCATGGTCCTAGTTCAGCTGCCAGAAGCCAAATGTGCATATTAAGTATTAAAATAAAATAAGTCAACAGATGATAAGACTCCCATATTACTGAACCCCACCCCAGTAGGCAGACTAAAGCATAATACAAATGGAAAACAAGAATGAGAGCAAGAGAGCACTGGATCACTTGTTTACTTGCAACTTTAAGGAAGCAAGAACTGCTCTTTCCAGTTTTAGACACCCCCCCTCCCCGAACAGAATCAGAAAGTCTATAACATTTCTGAATTTAGAGAGCATTTACATAAAAATGTTAATACTACGTTTTAGAACCAAAGGCAAGCAGGAGATAATTGTCCATACAAATTTTTTTTAAAAAGAACCACTGTAAGCATTTAAGAAAGGATGCTACAAAATAGTGATGATAAGGTTTTTGACTATTAGTCTTTAACGTGTATAACATTAGCCTTCATTTTCCCAGAGAGTTTTCCACACTTACGGCATTCGGGTAACATGCATTTTTCTACTTGTTCCAGTTCCTCATTGCAGTCCCCAAGCTCAGCAGCTGATTTCAGCATTCTTTGCCGGGTTCGCGTTCCCTTCCCACATGTTACACTACAGTCACTCCATTCAGACCAAGGAGAAAGTAGACAGGGAATAGTATCTAATATGAAAATGAACAGATAATTAAATTTGTTACACATTACAAAGGTACACATTTTGAAACCAATTCAGGTTGAAAACATAGTGTCTTTCTTTTATCTGTCTTCAACTACTCATATTTTGCTGTCACTTTGGACAAAAATAAACCGCATGCTGAATGATGCGCCTGCAAAAGCTGAGAAAAACTGTATTTAGTAAAAAGGCTTTGGTTTTAATAGTTAGATGCCCGCGTTTTAATAGTTTTTCTTTGCTATCTTATTATGTATGTCTCTCATTCATATATTGTGTTTGAACCTTAACCCTTTTAAGAAACCAATACATAGCTTCAGCGCACAGAACTGGAAGTCAAATCAATAAAGTCTAAAATGTGTCATTTATTTATTTACCACATTTTATCTACTAAAAAATCATTTTTAACTAAAGTTCTTGCTGTCTTTGATGAAAATCTTAACATTTCTTAAGAAAATAAACGCATTATTAGTAGACTGTTAAATGCTAAGGGGGAGACGACTGGCTGACGGCATAAAAGGAGCACCTCAGTTCTCAACTGCTCATGGGCTAAAATGAGAGGATACTGTTTTATCCTAGCCTTTTGATTAAATATACCTCATATTCTAAAAATCAGAATGGCTTGCTTACATATGGCATGCTAATATATATATACATCACTATGGGTGATACACTCATCATAGCATACAACTTAGTATTTTAGCATACAACTCAGTCCATTGGTGAAAGTAAGTGGTACTTAATGCACATTCCCCTAAGGAATCTAATTTTAAGGGAAACAAGAAAAAGTGGAGTGCTTCTGGTTTAGCTGTGTTCTTTGGTGTGATGGAGCAATGTGTCAGAAACGATGTCTCTCCTCTTAGCAGAGGTAATAAACTCGTGGATACTTACGGCATTCAGGCATCATGCATTTCTCTGCCTCGGTAGTTTCTGCCTTGCACATGGATCCGTCAGCGGGGGTCATCTTAATCATTCTGTGTCGTCTTTTCATGCCCGTTCCACAGCTAGCACTACATTCATCCCACTCACCCCATTCTGTGACAAGGCAGCTGCTGGGGGCTATTCAAAATGGAAAAAGAAAACGGTTCACTAGCAGAGCTCATAAAAAACATGTTTTCAGCCGTGCTCCTGTTATTGACTGGATTTTACAAAGCTAAAAGAAATACTTACAACATTCCTCATTTACAATACATTTCTCAGTCTCTTCGGTAGGCACTTTGCACATAGAGCCATCTTCAGGGAATTGTTTTACATATCTCTCTCTTGATCGCGTCCCCATTCCACAGGAAACACTACAGGGGGACCATGTTATCCAGTCAGACATCATGCAAGTGGAACCATCTAAAATACAGAGGACCATTTCAGTTGCTAATATTAGTATGATTACTACCCACTTCCCTGATAAATCTGTATCTGCCCATTTGTGTACAGCATCAAATTGTTGCTGCCTCTCACATTCTGTCTGCTCTTACTTTACTCCTTTCATTGCTTATACTGCTGGGTACTTCATACACCCACTCAACTGACCTGCAGAATTGACCACAGACAGCTACAGGTTTGCATTCTTCAGCAATTATTCTTCTCTTTGCCCTAAATCAAGTCATGCAGCAACCAACAGTTTAAGGACTTCAAAGAAAAAAAATTTCCCTAGCTTACAAAATGTTCATGTCCTCCACCCTTTCCCTCTGATTACCTTCATCACTGCAGCCTGGACCCATGCATGGCTGAAAATCTTGGGTATCCGGACAGGGCACACTGAGGTCCAGCTGAGCTTTAAGCATTCTCTGCCTCATCCTCTTGCCTTTTTCACAGGTAGAAGAGCTGCAGGCTGACCATGGAGACCAGTTTGAATATATGCAGGTCTCAGGGGTGTCATCTAAAAATAAGACAAGACGGTGAAAATTAACAACAGGTTATCCTCCATTTGCTTCTGTTTACTTTGCTGGTGATTACTTTAGATGTTAATATGATACGTTCTTTCCGTCTGCACTCTAGTCTTCTCCACTTTAACCTGGGGGGGGGGGGGGGGGACA